CTTACTCTAGTATATAATTTGGTAACAGCTGAGTATCTAGGATTATTTAATCAAAATAATCATATAAGATATTCTTCTCAACTAACCGTCGAGCCAAAATTTACTCCCCGCAACGACTAAATACAAGATATCTCACATCGTGTGCGCCAGTTGGCGTATGACTAGTTAAGGCTAGCTTGATTTTGTTTTTCAAATTCGGTCCAGGCATCGTTTAACTCCATAAATATTAACTTGGCCAACGCCTCATTTTCTGTCCCCACTTGCTGTTAACGTCAAAAAAAATTTTATTACTACAACATTATATCAAACAAACAGAAATTTACAATTAAGAAACAACCATCTTACTTTGTCTGGATGAACGGCAAGACAGGCTCTGCGGTAGTATCTCTTTACGTCAGCTGCTGACACCAGTTGATGCATGCCCACCTCTTGCCATCTGGTGCCTTCCCACAAGACAGTGTGCAGGGTACAAAGTAAAGCACGAATGTTTCTTTCTTTTTTCTCTGTCCAATCTAAAATCTAAAAATGAAATATTATAAATATTAATAGTTAATAATAGTGTAATATGAAATAGTTAATATTAGTATTACAAGATATCTTTGGCTAATATTTTTCCTAGAAAAATCTGCATAATCTAGTGATCATCCAGTAAGTACAGAACAGTTCTAGTTATTATGCCTATTTGTGCATTATGCTAAAAGAAAATCACCACTCAGATTTCAAATAGTGATGTAACGAATATTCGGTTACTATTCAGTATTCGGCTGAATACCAAATATTTAATCACTATTTGGCCGAATACCTGAAAACAGCAGTAAGAAATAACAAAAACACAAGTTAAATAAATATAAACAAACAACACTAACCCAATAACATTAAATCTAAATACCAAAATGATTAATTTACTGTAACATGCACAAAATAAAAAAGAAAATAATAATAGTCACATGTATTCACAATTTATAATTACAAAGATCAGCACACGTACATGCCTATCGTTGGAGAATCCTCGCACATTTGAGGGTCTGACCCTGCCTATCCTTTTTAAGCGCTTGTCTTTCTCTTTTCTCTATCTCTCTAGTCCACGTATGCCTATGCATACATCATAATACGCGCTCATGATACTTTCATTCGTCACTTTTCTGTCATAGTTTTTCCAGTTTATAATTACGTTACTCATAACATGGTGCTAACGGAGAAAAGAGACAGATAGGACGTCGGTATAAGTCACAGTTATGATTTCACAGATTCGAGACAGCTTGGTAGCCCGAATGGTCCCAGGCTTTTGCCCGTGCATGCTAAGTGACTTTCATTACAAGCATTTAGCTTTCTGAAATCTATGACAAGAATTGTTTGGCATTGACGCCCGCGAATTTCGTGCCAATAAGCTGCTTTGACTTGTTCGATTATGTTATCAACTCAATTTCATATTTATTTTCACATTTTCTCTTTGCGGTTGTTCTCTGTTCTTTCTCCGTTATTTACACATTTAGGTCATTTCATTGTTATCCACATTTGATATGACGCTCTTGTCTGTCCACTACAACTGTCAAGAATTAACGCAATTGGCAAAGCGTAGTGACAGTGGGCCAATAGAGAGCAGTTTTTGCGCCAATTTTTGTACGTGCGTTAATCAAGCCGAATAGTTTGGCCGAATATTCGGTATTTGGCCTGAGGCCGAATATACTATTCGTTGCAACACTAATTTCAAAGTAAAAGTTTTGATCATATAATTAGTTATTTGTTTATATATAAGCCTCATAATTCAAAATCAAATAGTCCAAAATAATATATGGCATTAACAATGTTTTGGCTATCAACTAATAGAAACTTAGTTATTAGTCTTAGATCAAATTATTACATTCCAGAAGAAAAAACATTTAAAGTTAGCACAAGAGGCAATACAACTGAGTTGCTTAACTTTCCTGGCAACGTTTAAAACTGTGTGTATGCCATCATTATGATTTACAGGGTGAGTCAAAATTATGTGAACAATCTTGTTTCATTAATAATGTTTAATTTAATTAAAAATTATCTTAACTTTGTTTTGTTTTCTATTCCGACCATTGTTATGGCCTCCCCAATCTCCAGTGTTCTGGCACTAAATTGTACTGTTGAACATTGGTTTGAGTGCATTAATCATGCTGGTGGTCAGGTTGAGACTTTGAGTAAATGCTTTCTCTCAAATAGTGTTCACATAATTTTGACTCATCCTGTATATATATATTTTATTATTAATTAAAAATTTTTTTATAATGGCAAAACACTCAATTTACTTATTAGCATTTACTCTTTGAACACAATCAGTCTTATCCGTTTAACAACTTTTCAATCAACCAATTTCGTTTTTCACTATAGAAACATCCAATGATCACCTAAATGATTGGGCTACAATTTGGCTAATTTAAATAATTAATACAATCATTTAGGCGATTGTTGGATGTTTCTATATACTCATCAGGCTTTGCAATGTTTGTTATATTTATGCTCTTAGACTAATTTTTGCTATGCCCTTGTAGCCTGTCGGGTAAAAACAATTTAGTATCAGCAACAGAGATGTAGTGAGTTTTCAGAGCTTAGAGTTAAAATTGTCATTAAGTCCACCCTACTCAAGATATGACGAGAAGCCACTTTATCTCTTCACCCCCTCGACCTTTAACCATCAAAACTGAATAGAATCAATCTCCCTAATACACAAACCTCTTTTTCAATTTCTGAAATTTTTCAAAGCTCAGGAGTTAAGCTTCAAAGAGGGCAAACAAAATCATGCCCCTCCACAGAAAAACCCCGAATTTTTTTGCATTTTTTAACCAATTGCCATGCTTTCCTTCTGTTATTTAGGGTTGGCAACTAAGTGATTGCTGATTTTAAATAAGAAGGAAAATTCAAAATTTTTGCTTAAAAATATAACTTTATTCAATTAGGTATTGTCCATTTTTGTCATTGATCTCTTGCTATCTTTCAGGCATTGTCATAATTCCATGTTCATAAAACTTCTGATTTTTGCCAGCAAAAAACTGAATTAAATGTGTTTTTATATCATCAGCGTCATTAAAAATTTTACCATTTAAGGAGTTCTGCATGGAACGAAATAAATGGTAATCTGAAGGTGCAAGGTCAGGGCTATCATCATCATCATCATCATCATCNTCAGGGCTATATGGTGGATGTGACAACACATCCCAACCTAGCTCCAATAATTTTTGGCGAGTGACCAAAGATGTGTGGGGCTTTGCATTATCATGCTGGAAAACAACACCCTTACGATTTGCCAATTCTGGCCGCTTTTCTTGAACTGCATCGCTTAGTTTGGCAAATTGTTGAACATACACATTTGAATTAATCGTTTGGTTTCTTGGTAAAAGTTCAAAGTACAGAATTCCTTTATAATCCCACCAAACTGACAGCATGATCTTTTTTTTGGTGAATCTCAGCTTTGTGGTCATCTGGGCTGGTTCATCTCGCATCACCCACGATCTTTTCCGATTAACGTTGCTATAAACTATCCACTTTTCGTCGCCAGTAATCAGTCGTTTCAGAAATGGATCAATCTCGATGTGTTTCAGAAGTGAATCACAGATGCTAATGCATTGCATCAAATGAATTTCCTTAAGCTGATGAGGGACCCATAAATCCAGTTTCTTGACATAGCCAAGCTGTTTTAATTTTTTTTGAATGCATGTATGTGAATCTCACACGGTGTGCTATGACGTTCTGAATCGATAATGACCTTGATATGGATCTCATCAACTTCAACTGGACGGCCAGATCGTTGAGCATTTTTCAGTGAAAAATCACCAGAACAAAATTTGGCAAACCAATTTTGACAGTGCCTTTGTTTCAAGGCTTCATTCCCATATAAGGCACATAACTTCTTGTGTGCTTGTGATGCGTTCTTGCCTTTTCGGAAATAATACAATAAAATATTTCTGAAATGCACGTCTTGTTCTTCCATTTTTAAATTGGGATAAAAATGAAACTAAATAACTAATCAATACAATTTTTTTACTAAATTAAAGGTGGAAGTCCAAACAACAAGAAAACAATATAGGTTAAATGCTTTGAACACGATGACAAAGCAAAAAAATGTACTAAGGCTACCTATTGACAAAATCCACAATCACTTAGTTGCCAACCCTATACATAACAGCCAGGAAAGTAAAAAAGCATTTTGGAACAGGACTTTCAACCACTGTTTACTGAGCAGATGCATTACCAGTTATGCTATCTGGACTTTTGTCTTCCATGACTTATTAGACTGAGTTCACTCATTACATCTACACCATCTTTTGTGAGATTATAAAAGCTGGTAATTTCCAGCAATTGCTTTTCATTACAGCTTTCATCTATTCAACATTAGTGTGACATTTTTATTCTTACGAGGGACATAGAACAAGAGTTTTATGTTTTCTTGAAAACAAAAAGACTGGTTTGCTTACCTCTATTTCTAGCATTTAGAAAAATGTTAGATAGTTCTATTTTACTTTTTTTCCTCCCAACTGAGGTAAGTTTATGCTTTTGAAGAATATCAGTCATCAAGCTGTAACTACTTTACCAGTTGAAGGTGATATGTTTTGTACCAGAGATCAGCATTACAAGTCTTTCTAAAATGTCTTTTGGATTGTTACTAGCTTGAAATCCATCAAACTGCTCTCCAATGTAGACATCCACCTTGACTGTATAATAAGTATGAGCATCAACTAGTGCACAAATTTTAATGCTACAGTTTGCTGGCTTATTAGGCATATACTACTGGAATGAGCATCTACCCAGGAAAGATTCCAATTTTTCAATGATGGTTAAATATTCTGAGGTTGTACATGCCAACCAGAAATTTTTAATCACTTTTTCAAAACTTGTTCATGCTACTACAAGTTTATCAACTTGATGTCTTTCATTATAGTTTCTGTAATGTCAAATCACAAATAATACAGTAAAAAATAGAACCAACTTTTGCACTTAGTTCCCCTAAATATTTCCTTGCCCATACCATATTCCACAATGTCAGCCTTATTTTAATGGTTGGATTAAACCATACCCATCAACTGCAAAAAACCAAAAAGTGTTTTTATTTCAATATTACATGTTTCACCAACATAAAACTGATTTGGGAGATTGGTAGCAACCTGTACTATTTTTTCATTGTTGTATTGTTAGAATGCATCAATTATAAGTCTTATCAAAAAACAGTAACCAACACTCATATGCTTTTCAGCAGTTTTACCATAGGCCTTGATGCCAGTAAATTGTTGTTATTGGTAGTAAATTGTTGGGATTTTGTTAGAATCATTTTTGGTAACATCTTTTTTTATCTCCATTATTAGTTCTGTTTTTTCCAATAAAATACAAAGCCTTAGATGAAACAAACAACTACTTCAACAGTTTCTCCAATAGCATTATCTTGATCAACAGTGCATTCTTCACTAGTAGTTTTTCTTCAATAGCATCATTAACTTTGTTGTCACTAATATGATCTTTCTCTTCACCATCATCAGAATCAATATAATTTGATATATCATCAGTCTTCCAATAATTTTCTTAAATGCTCCTGTTCCTTTTCAAAAATATCCATACTTAATTATTTAATTAATTTGTTTATATATTGATAACATTTCTTTCTTTGGTAACATTTTTTCAAAAGACTTGTGTATGGTTGTAGATCTATCTAGTTTTTCCTTTTTAATCACATCATATTTTTCATTTAAAATAGCACTTACTAAATTAAATAAATTCAACTGTTAAACTAAATAGTAAGCTACATAATGAAAGACTTATTCAGTGATTACAAAAATCTAAATTTAGGCTGCACTAAAACAACAAACCAAAAAAATTATTTTAAATATTTAATAACAAATAATAAAGAAAAATATATGAAAGTTAGATGTAATAAATTAATTACTACAAAACAGATAATGTACTTTTATTTTTTCTGGATCCATTTCTTTTATTAATTCTTCTTTTCTGAGTTCTCCAATTGTTTTTGGTCCAAGATCTTTCTTTCCAAATCCAGAAAATCCCTGACTGCCGAGTAAATCTTCAAACACTGTATCATCAAGCTTTGGTTTTGGTCCTACTTGAAATAAAAAGAATTTTATACAATTTTTTTATTTATTAAATTTATAATTAGGTAAGAATTAATGAAATCATTAATCTTTCTACCTCCAGTTTTCCTCGAACCCCTTTCATCTCTTTCTCCAAATACACTTGAAAAATGACTTCTATTATAATCTGGTTTCTGAGCTCCAGCTCCAGCCCCGGCTCCTGTCCCGGCCCCAGCTCCAGTTGAATTTACATTCTGCTGATTGTTCTCATTATTTCCGGGCTGTTGCCAAGACGATGCAGTACTACCCGCAAAAGACTGAGGTCGAGGCATATGCTGAGGACTATTTGTTCTGAGAGTTGACTGAAGTGGTATGTTATTTTTTTGCTGCGAAGGGACATTAGGATCTTTAGGCTGTGCATTGGTTTTCTTGACATCACCTAATAAAATATTTAAAGTTTTGATTAAATTGTTATTGTTTTCATTTAATTAAACACACTGATTTTAAAGTTGCTTAATAATAATAAATTTAATTATAATCCACATTATGGTTGTGTGCAAAAATAATACATATTGAATTCAAATTTAAACATAAAAAGTATCAGTACATTCTTTCTTAAATTTTTTTATAAAATTCAAATATAAAAATAACATTTTTAGAAATTATTAACTTTGGATATTATCAAATATACATAAAATTAATTAAATAATCTACGAATGAAAATGAAATAATTAATGAAATAAAAATATATTTAATAAAATAAGAATTTTCTTAGTAATATACTGTTTGGACTACAATATTGATTTTCCTATCCATTAATAATTTAGAAATTCAAAATGATATTACTTTTAAATATTGATAACTTATCTAAAAATAAAGAAAACATTTGCTTTAATGGAGTATAAAATAAAATAAATAGAATTTTAAAAAACAACAAGTTCTAGTGTTTTCAGACTTATTCATTTTCTGGAACACTTAGGAAGATTATAGAATGTCATTACTGTGGTAACCTGCTACAAAACAATTCCGTTGTTATGGGAACAGAAAATAAAAAATTTGTTTTTACAAAACTCAAAATACAAATTGTGGAAATACACTTAAATAAAATCAAATTAATGTGGAATTAAGTAAACATTGACAAATATTAATTTAATATTTTGGCAGTGGTATTATAGTCCTGTAATAAATTCAACTGTAACAAGATGACATTACAGCAATATTGGACTGGTCCACCAGGGTAATAGACTTTCCCAGAGAGATTACTCCAACTGGGTCAAAAGGTTGTCACTAAAAAATTAATTAATGCAAGATGATAATGAGTAAAACCTAACACTATTTTCTGGAATTCTATATTATTTTTAAAGTAACCATCCCATCTTCATCTCATTACACTGTTGTGAAATTGTTTTGGCATGACCATGACCCATGAAGAACAACTAATTAAAAATACATTCCAAGAAATACATTTACAATGTATACACATTCATGATAAAGAATATGGCCATTTGGATGTCCAAGGCAGAGGTGCAAATGAGGAAATTAAGAAAAACTGACATTTGTTAACAAATTTTACAGAAAACAAACAGAGCAAGAATTTAAACATTTATGACAATTTTTGAATCAATGTTAATATCATAATTTTGGATCTAGGAATGCTATTTAAACAGCTGTGGGCCTACTGTATATTGTAGCTTTTCCTGGGCCAAATTTTCTGTCCAGTCTGACTTAGCAATACTGAGAATAGAGTCATCAGAATGGCAGGATCATGTAATGGTTGGAGATATAGAGCATGACCCACATCAACCATATTTACAATATGGTATCATTGCTCCAATTTTCAGATATTCTTAAAATATCTTAATTTTATTCTAAAATAACTAGTAATATTTTCAAATTATCTTCAAAAACAAATTATAATGTTTATTAAATTTATAAAATTGATAACATTAAGTAATTATAAATATGTATTGATAAATAAGCCTTACAATAAGGTTGTCCTTAAAATTTTTTTAAATTAAATTATTTTAAAATATGAAAATTGCCATCCAACAAAATTCTACAATCTATTTTAATATATATTTTAAAAATAAATTTAAATTGATATTTCTCATTGAATATAATACAATTGGTATCTGCCATTTGCTAATGTCATATATACACTGCAATATATTTTTACTTAGGCATTTCCAATGAATCTGACTGTAATGACAAAAGAGCACAAGTTGTTTTTAGATGCAAGCATGTGCTAAAATTTGTCCAAAAATGAATCAACTGTGCAACTATCATGCAAAGGAATTTTTAGACAAACCCTCACAGTCAGTTAATTGCAAACTAGAAGCATCCACTGTCTGTACAGTACATGCCGCATTAGCATGAATGTATTGACTGATTTGAGACTATGCATACTAACTATTCTAAGCCCATAAATTGTTAACTAACACTACAAAAAAAAAAAAACAACATATCATGTTGCTGCTTGCTCACAAGTATTAAAAATCACTTTGTAGTTTTTAGAGAATTATCTGTAAATCCATAATTTACACACAAGAAACTACAGAAAATCAATAGTGATTAGAATCCTATTACCAACCATCTATTCAACTGCTAAATTTGTCAACATAATTTAACAACATAAATATAGCCCTGGCCCATACTTTTTTGACTTTTGGTTAATTTGTTATATAAAGTTAATTTATTATTTGATTTATTGGACAAGACTAGGTCTTCTTTATAAAACTCTGCTGCTGCTGTCAACAGTCACACACCTTAGAGCAGGGTCGCCAAACTTTTTTTTAACCGTCGACCCCCAACCACTTTCCAAAGCCTCACATTGACCCCCACCGTAAAGTTTTATTACAAGTGTATGTGTATGAGCAAAGAAAAAAACGTTGTGGTCTCTGTATAAGGAAAAAAAAAAAAAGGTCGTGATCCCTTAGCCGCATCGACCCTCCAATGATGTTGCATCGACCACTTTGGTGACCCTGCCTAAGAGGTACGAAGGAGTACAGTACATGTCAGGAGTTGCAGTTTTGCAGAGTATTTGGTGCCAAAAGAAACCAGACTTGGAGGTACTCAGGGGACCGAGAACCAAGTCAAAACAAAATACAAAATGACGATATCTTTCTACAAACAGGCACTAGTGCAAGATATGCGCATGCATTGCTCGTTGGGAAGTTGGAAATGCGAACGTTGCAAAATCGAATTTTGACAACAAATCTTTGAAAAAACCCATTTACCTGTCCCATTTTATTCCCATCATCTCTCTGATCGTAATGTGCTGGTTGACCTGAGATATCTTGTTTCAGCATCAGAACATTTTTGAAACTACATGGCACTAGTTGTTACAATTTTATATTAAAACTAGCTTACCCGTCATGCATTGCTGCGATCTCAGAAGAAAGGAAATTCAAGCAAACTCGTTATGATAAAATTCAATTTACATTTTATTATTTTTATTGAAACTTATCATTATTATTAATTTTCATCGGGAAAACATTTCAAAGTGTCGTTTCAATTCTATTTATTTATTGGAGTGTTTGTGGATACACGATATTTTTTGTTTTTCCGTCTGGTGCGTACACAAATAAATCGGAAGGCTTTTCAACGCGTGAACCGGCCACATACAATTGTTCATGCGAGAAACACTGATTCTCCAAATTTAGCCCACACACTCGCTGCGATTGTCAGAAGTGCGATATTCCCCATTTTTATATATATTTTTAAATCCTTTATAATTTT